ATTGTATTGCTTTGATTGAATGTAATGTTTTAGTTTTGTATGTTTAATTTTTATTAGTTAGAAATTTAGATGTTTAATTTTTATAGTTAGAAATTTTTGTTTTTCTTGAATTTCTGATTTAAATATATTTGAATAATAATAGTTATAGTTAAAAAAATTTTTTTATGTAATTGTTTTATTTAAATTTATATATAAAACGTCTCTAAATTGATATCGCAAAATTTATTGTATGTGTATTGTTTGATTAATCTGGAGTATAGAGATTTCTTTTTAGTACTTTGATTGAGAAAGCCATCTTTTTATATAGCTTTTTAATTTTTAACATTAAATATCTTAAGTTCTATATAATAAGAGAGTATGATTTTGTATTATTATTAATTTCTTTCTTTGAAGAATTTCCAAAAAATTTTTAAATGTTTAACCGTTTATATAAATAAAATTATATAAATAAAAAATTATTGTAAATTATATATCAAGTATTACGAATATATATTTTTGCTAAGAATAAGAAAATATTGATGTCAAATCGTTTCAAGAATATATGTAAATTTTGTGACATCAATTTACATAAAAGTACATACAAAATACATATATATAATACATAGATTATGTGCTGCTAAAGTACTACTAAGATAATTTTCTTTTTTTTACCTTACATTGTGCAGCACTGAAAACAAGTGAGTCTATAATACAATTTTTATATACATTTTGCATTTGTGAAATTGCTTTAAATAAATATGAGAACACTCGCTATTCACTAATATGCTTGGACACATTTTTAAATGCATGCTAGTAATGTAATGTTTTATCTTTAATCAAGATATTGTGTACAAGATATCGCTTATTATAAAAAAAAAAGTATTTGTAAGAACATAGACAAATGTTTATTTAATTTTATTTCTTTTATATATTTTATTTCTTCTTTTAGATATTAAGCAAATATATAATATAAACTTTTATCATTTATATACATCATACACAGTACACACATACATTATATTTTATTTGAAAAATTTGCCTACGTATTACTCAATAATGTATGCTTTTACTTTTACTGCTACTTTCAATTAAAAACTGCATATTATTTCTGTATTAAAAAACTTTTTTTATAGATATTCTCATCTGTATATTTTCATTTTCAAATTTTATCATTCAATTTTATTGGCGAATATTTTATATTCCACAGAGAATTATTTAATTTCTCTCACATATACGTTGCTTTTGAGTTGTGTATCATATAATTGTATGTGATATATTATAATTTATTTCAGACGAATGGAAAAATATATTATTTCTCTGCAGGAATATAATATTCTGTCGCGTATTCTAATTACTGTTGCGTTCTTTTTTCGCTAGATTTACTTTTCTCTTCTGTTTTGGCTTCAGCATATAATGCAGATTAAAAAGAAAAAAAAGAAAATACAAAGCTGCGTTATTTATTATTAAAATACATAGTTATAATTTATCGAAATTACACATACTAATAAATATTTTTCTCTTCTTTTTGCAAAGAGTGTCGAAATACGCTACCCCTGGTAGTTATCTTCAAGGTACCCTGAGTTTCTGCAAAGATGACATTGGAAAGAAGGTGGATAATCATATATTCAAATACATCATATCCGAGCCTGCCAAGAAAAATAGCTGTCCCACTAATAAAACAGAGAAGGAGAAAACAACAAAGTGGGACGAATATCAAGAAGCATTAAGAGATCTAAAGTGCAATTACCTTGCGAAATTTGGTAATTCAATATTCGTACAGACACTCTCGTAAATGTTTAAATACGCACAATAGACTTATAGATTAATTCACGTCAGTATTATCGTATAAATATTTTCTATCTTCTTTTTTCCGGTTTATATTCTACCGATAGCACCATCTATAAGTAAGTTGGGTTGAGTTTAAAACCTGTATATATATATATTATGAAATCCAGTTTTATTTTTTTCCATATTACCTCCCCCAAAGATACATGTGTACCTTAGAGCATGTATTTGCAATTTTTACATGCATCTGCCCCTTTTTATATGTTAAATAATGTGCATCCACGATTGTTCACTCCGTATTTGCCATTTGCATATATAATCCGTTTGCAAATTCAGTCATTTTTTATTGTTAACGTAATATATATATTTATATTTATTTATTTATAAACATATTTATACATATTTCTTATATATATATATATATATATATATATATATATGTAAATATGTATATATATATAAATATGTAATATATATGTATATATATATATATATATAATATATAATATATATATATACATATATGTATATTATAATTTATTTATAAATTAATTATAATGTCCATATATTTATATATAAATACGTATGGTATATAATCTCTTATGTAATATAACATTTGTTACATGTTAATCCATGATCTACTTTCGAAAAATGATATTGACGAATTTTGTTGGTTTTTTTGGTCAACAACAGAAGTCGGCGAACATGCTAACTCACTATACGGGGAATTGAAAGGTCTCTTTTCCGATCATTTACCCGTTCACACTGCCATGTTGACATCCTTGGATTCCTCCGAAGCACGGCGACACGTGCCGCATGACGATCTTTCAGAAAACGCTATTACACTTGCCAATCAAATAATCGGAGTCGCCGACTGTGTGATTACGAATATCGATCAAGATAAATTATTGGCGTATTACGGACTGAAAAATGATCAACGTCCTGACGCGGCAAAAATCAAGGTGACCATGGAGAAGCAGAAGAACAGCTTGATCGAGGCATTGGTGAAGAAGGGCTGCGCCTTGGCACGATTATACGTACATGGAACGAAGATCGGGGAGGGAGATGGATCTTTTCAACATTTACTCGAAAGTGTCACTAATCACTGGCAAGAAGTACAGAAATTCGCTGAACTTACCGATAATAAGGTGATTTTATCGTTGCATTTAGAAAATTATCTTTTAAATGAGTGTTTATAAACTTCAAACAAATGTTTGATTTAAAGGGGAACAGAAGATAGTTGACTTATTGTAAAATTTTGTAAAATTTAAGTATAAAATACCTCAAACTATTTATTTTTTTATTTTTATAACTTTATTAAAATTGTGAGGAACCGATTTATATAAAACAATATTATTCTATTTAAAAAACAAATAACCCTCAAATAATCTTGAAAAACGCCCTTTAGAAAAAAGTCGGTAATTACACCTGACTCCATTCAAATCAAACAATTTTTGTTTGAAACATTTCGTCATACAATCAAAAATGAAAAAGTTTTTAGGGGTGATCGATTAAAATGGAACATATAATATAAAAATATAAAATATATATTGCATTTGTATGTAATATAAAATATAATATAATATATATTTTTATATAATATATATTAAATATATAATATAAAAATAATATATATAATGTAATATATAAAAATATAATATAAAATATAATATATAAACATAAAATATAAATATATAATATAAAAATAATATATATAATGTAATATATAAAAATATATAAAATATATAATATAAAAATATATATTATAAAATATAAAAATATACATACATATGAGAATGTGAAATCAAAATATTTAATTGTGAATAAAGTGAAAAAAATTAATTTGTAAATATTATACTAAAATGACAAATAAGATTTATTTCCTCTCCAGGTTATCATCTTATCTTTATGGCATGCACACATCAATAAGCACTATGGACGCTACTTAAAATTACTGACGCGCTATTATGAGGAGAAACCATTGAAGGAAATCGACGAAAAAATCATTGAAATTGCAAAGGTTCTGGAATGGGAACACTGGTCGCATCTCCTCATCACAAGTATACCAACACGTTATCCAGCCACACATAGATCATTTTGATCACTAGTGAGTACTTATTTATCATTATATACCTTAGAGTATCTTTAATCAAATTGAGGGAAAAAAAGTCTAATTATGTGTTTGTCATGATGATGTAATATTAAATATACATATTGTATCTTTTCAGCTTTTATAAATCTACAGTGTGATAAGATGAAAAGAATTATGAAAATCGTTTTCAACGCATCTTTGTAATAACAGTGCTCGTTTGTGTCAGGTGTAATATACATTTAGAGAGAAATATGAATTTATTCATAATAAACTAATCATTTAGAAAATTAATTGCACACAATGCAACTTAATTAACTAAACTGATACAATAAGTTGTAACTTTTTTGTGGAAACTCAAATTATTTTATGGAAAATAACTTTATTAAAATTTACAACAGATAAATATAATATAAGCAATAACAATGTAAAATGTGTTTTTTCTCTCATTTGCAGGAATTAGTATATTGTTAGTATTATAAAGGAAAAATAATATAAGAGATTTATAATTTGAATTATTTATCCAATTGAAAACTTACTATTTTGTATCATTACATTTTACATTTTAGAAAAGATTATATTATATTATATTATAAATATCATTGTATTATTTAGAAATTTAAATTTTTGACTATTATACATATATAACATTTGTTATTATAAAATATTTACTTTTATTACACAAATTAAATAAGATACACGATGTGTCTTATTTAATTTGTTTCATCAACGATCAAATATATTACTTACTTCGTATTCTTATTTTTACAGTAAACTATATATGTATATATATAAATATATCTTTTGTGTTTTTATATCCAGAATATAATTTATTTCATTGTTATTTTGAAAATACAATTTATATTAAACAACAAGAATTTTTGAATAGACTATTTGTTAGTTTCTTTATTGGTATAATGATGTATCACATACACATTTTTCATTTTACAAAAGGGAAAGTGTTCTACAAAAATGTATATATTCAAAAATATTTTACGCACATACATATGTATGTTCATTGCATTTTAATAAACAATGAAATTTGCCCATTAATATAAATATTTGTTACATATCTTTATAAAAATCAATTATTTTAGAATATTTAACTAATGATTAATGTAAAATGTAAAAATTAATGTAAGTCGATTTGATTGCTACAAATAATTACTTAATTTGTATTCATTGAACACACTATCCTTGATATTCAATTATTTTAGCCTAAAACACAAACACATAAACTGTACTATTGTACAAAATTTTGGCATCCAAAATGTCTTAAATAATTTCAAACCTTTTTTTTTTAAATGGAAATATAAAATCTGCAAAAAATGTATTTGGTAACAAAATTAATAAGTAATGAAAGTCACATGAAATAATATATATCTAAGAAATATTCTGGTAATTATGACTTTACCACCACTATTTAGCTGTCATTTCCCAACATATGTAAAAGATTGTTCTAATCACGAAGTAGATGTGTTATGGTATCATCCGGATTTTACACAAAGCCGTTATCCACCAGGACAAGAAAGTAATTAAGCATCACTCTATAATCTATGTCATATTCATTGAGTATACAAAAAAATTAATTATTAATAATAAATAATAAAATTAAAATAAAATACTTTTTTGTGTCGAATAATCCTGTAATAAATAATGAATAATCCTTTAGTAAGCGAAGCTTGTACACTGATATGTTTGCTCGTGGCTGTACGAATATCAAGAGGACATTTATTGATCCACGATATAGAAAACTGTCCGAGATTGAATATCATCATAGCAGAAGCGATGATAGAGGGTAATGTAACTCATGCGTGGCTAATTAAGGAAAGACTTATATCACATCCATATTTGAGTACCGAAGAAGCTCTGAAATATGGGGGCAAAAGCTTAAACATATTAAAAGAATGGGTAAACAACGCATGCTAATAATATTCAAGACAAATTATATATAATATTCAGTATAAAAATTCTTATTATCGCAGAAATTCAATGTCTTTCACGAAGAAATAGAAACAAGTTTGTACAAGAATATAAATACATTTCTATACGAGTGGTATAAAATCCCAAGATCTCATACTCTATTTATGCTGCTCATCACGTGCGGACGTACTATATTATTCATATTTCAAGAAATTACCTATAAAGTAAGAAAGAGAAAAAAAGTATAAATTATATGCATATGTAGAATAATTTTATTTGTAGGTAACATTATTTGATTCGCACAGCCATGTCACTGCTAGTAATTCAAATCATGGATTAGTTATTGCTCAGGTAAGCAGAGATAATTTAAAAAATTTTTCTTTTTTAAATATAGTATCAGAGATAAAGTGATAAGAGCAATATAAATAACAAGTTTCTCTTCCGTTATTAATTGTGAAAATATGATACAGACAACTGTTGATAGATTGGAATCGCTGTGCGACTGGTACATTCAAGAAGTATTAAAAAATTGTTACAATGCACAAGCTAATAAGTACGAATTAGCCTTTTTATATTCCTCTAATGCGCAATGCAATGCTCACAAAAATAGGGCTTTATGCAAATGTCAACAACCCTGTAAAATATAATTATACATTTCTATAACTGAATACTCTGAGGTATTTTATTACCTTATTTTATTACCGGTACTATACATATATATATACTCTTAAATATAAATAAAATTATTTTTTAAAAAGTAATATGTAAGTAATACACATGAAATATAATTATATATACTTATTAGAACTTTTTATTTAAACACATATATAGGTAATATACACAGTGTGTATTTACTTAGCAGCAATTTTTAAACAGACAAACTGCATATGGATTAAGACTGATATATTTATTTACATTATATACAATTTACTTTCTCTCTGTTTCTCTCCTAAGGCTGATGAAACGCTTTATTGTTTACACAATGCTGAAACTATTAATTAAAATTATTTATTTTCGAAAACATTTAATTTTAAATAATATCTAAATGATATCATATACATATTTGTTCCTTTTTCTAATGAGTTTAGCATTGTGCAAACGTACACCTGGCGATATGTTACAACTACATATTAATAAATTTACGCTGTGATATCTCGTTGAGATTTGCTTTCCTCGTCTATTTTACATTATGCTTATAAAATATAATCAAAAACGTATGTGGACGCTACGATTTTACTTGAAAATTTCGTTTTCATAGTTTTTATAATATATTAATTAAGATTCACTACAATATATTTTGATTTCTTAACAGCTTAGTTTCCTCTCAATCTGTGATAGTGTTTAATTTTTTACATTATAATGTTTATAATCTGCACATATTTTGTGTAAATAAAAATCGCCTATATTATCATGAAAATAAATATATATATATATATATGGCTTTATAAAACATTATTAGAAAGACAATGTCTAACGTACAAAATAATTAATGACAAATTTGTTAAGAGAAGTAAATCTGTTTATGTAAAAAATGTTATGTTACAAAGTGTAATACCTATACAATATGTAAATAAGATATATATTCCGAATTTATAAAAAAAATATTTTATCTAAAACAATTACAATGTCTCAAAAATACAATAAATAATCTAATGTAAAAAAAATACAGTTTTTCTTTCTCTCTCTCTGTGTAATCATTAATTATAAAAGATAAGTAGAATGCCGAAATAGAATAATGTTTCTAAAATACAGATTTTTTTCTCTTTATGCTCTTATATACATTATTAATTGTTATATAATAGAGTATCATAGAATTTATTTAATAATAATTTTCAACAACGCAATTTTCTAAAAATTACTATCTACAAAAACTGATAGCTTAATCTAGCAATTTTGTTTCCAATCCCCATCCTTGTTTTAAAAGAGTGCTAAATTGAATATCTTTTTTTCCTTTTTCAAGAACTGCTTGCAAATACCAACAAATACATAAACATGTATTTGGCAGAGGTAATTGAGCAATTATTTTATCATATTTTCACATGTAAATAAACATTTTATACACCATATTTCTTTGTACAATATGATCAATTTCAAGGCAATGCTTTTCTCTTCAAAGATAAATAAGAAATTACAATTGGATTATTTTACAATTATATGACAATTTTGTGATATTCTATATGATTAATATAGATGTTTTATATAAATTAAATTTATAATATAAGAGTAAATAACATTTTTTTAAAGCAAACACTCTTAAAAGACTTTTTGTATGTTCAGCAAACAAAATATCTACTAAAGCGATATATATTGTACATTGTTGAGGATGCATATTAGATGCTATATAATATATACTATGATTTTTTTATATTTGTGAACATTAATTTATCTATAATAATTTACACAGAAAACAAACTAACGTTACATTAATAAAAAGAAATATTATTTAACAAAAATACTTGAAAATATATATTTTTTATAATAAAAACGAATTAAATAGTTATCATTTGTATGAGTGATTTGGGATGAGTGTTGCAAAAAGAAAAAGGAAAAAAAAGAAAAAAACGTTAGAGAGATTGACGAACTCGAGGTTGTGCCCATTCTACAAAATCATCAATTAGTACAGGCCAAGCACCCTCCTCATCATAATTACTCATATCTGAATTAATCATAAGTGCAAAATCTAATAGTAAGTTCCACGTATCTTTTGGAATTGATCTTTTGTGATGTTCCTAAAAGATATCAGTAATTATTTTCAAATAACTCTCTTTTTTTCTCTCTCCATCTTTGTACACAAAAAAATAAATGTAAAAATAATATTCAAATTTATGCGCTTACCTGTAGGAACTGACACCACAATTGAAGAAATTTGAATTTATCATCTAACACAATATTCCAATATGCGATAGCCATGTCCAGATCTAAACCCTTTTGCCCTGTATTCTTCGCATAATTAAATGTGTAATGATAGAAATCCTTGAATTTTATAGGATCCCTTAATTCATTTTCTAAACTACCTAAACGCGCTTTTAACTTATCTATACTATCCACCCTGAAAAAGATAATTATGAAAATAATTATATTTCAGATTTAACAATTGCTCTAACAATATAACAAACTAGAGATTTACCCCAAGTCTGCCATTCCATTCATAAATTCTTCCTTAGTAAATTCGCATTGTGTTTCGGCACGAAACTTCCATGCAATAATCAAAACTAATTTACTTTCAGGACTGAGATTTAGATCATCCAGAAATTTCATGATACCATCCGCCGTAATTTTATTAGGTTCATTTGGATCTGTAGATAAATAACTGATTAATATGCCATCTTTTTCTATAATACTAAATACAAATAATAAAGTGTTAAAGATTGCAACTTTACCTTGGTATTTGCTATATAATATTTCCAATTTCTTTTTGTCAGCCGAATTTTTTGGTTCTTTGTAATAAGCTTCTGGATTTTGGAAGTAGTTGTCGCTTGCCAGATCAAGCTTCCAATCATTTTGCGCCAGACAGTATATCGCAGTTTGCTCCCCAGTTTGTGTAAACGTAATAAATTTTTTCACTTTGTCCCTTTGTGAAAACTTTAATTTATGCTGCAATTTAAACGAAATAGCATCATACTTTGAAAGCTCATTACTTGTTTGATTATAAAAGTAATATGCATATATAAAAATGACACTATACAGTTCTAGATTTTATTATAAAATTCAATAATTCCTGAAATCATCATCATTTTATATTTTCATTCTATATGCAAGACGTGCAAGAGTTTTCATATGACACGTTCAAAAATGTTACTTTTGACAAAATTTCATGTCGCCTTCAAATGACGTTTGCATTTGACAAATTTTGAAAAGTAGAGAGGAGATGAGGGAGCAGAGAAAGCGGAGAAAAGAAAATCAAAATATGATAATCATTAATCGTTATATATACAAAGAATAGGTTATTATAAAGCAACGTGAAAAATTCGAGATCTCGGCGAGAGAGAAATCGCATTCGATCCCGCGACTGACAGCTCGATGGAAAAACGCGATCGTGTCGACGTGTCGCGATCACGGGCCTTCGAAAAAATGCTTACCATTTTCCGGCTAATTTTAGGCCCCCGAAAAAGCCAAAATATTATTCCCCTCGTACTACGCTCGACGTAAACGTGCGCATGTCTGTTGAGGGCCCCGAGAAACGCATCGACATGCGTATCGAGTGGACGTGTATCTCGCGAATGTGACGTCGAGACGTTCTGGGAAAATGTGTTCGGAAAATTACACTCGCACGCGCGCGAAAGACGGAGCGACCAATTGGGACGGAGAGTTCTTCGCGCCTCGCGCTCCGATTGGTCGACGAAACGTCACTTTTCATCCGAACAAGCAGCATTTGCGAACGTCACCTTTCCGGAATCAGGACGGTAGGATTTAGCGGGTTATTCAAAGGGATGAAATATCATATGTCAACATTTTTTATCCTTCTTTTACTCAATATTGGATTAATATATCCAAATAATTTTCTTTCGCTCTCTTTCTTATATATAATTTAAATCGATATTTTTGAATAATAAATTTTAAATTTTAATTGCAATTTATATTGAATAATATAATGCAATAATTTTTTAATTCGTAATTTTCTGGAAAATTAAATTTTTTGCTACATCGAAATTAAAAAGTTTATATATTTAGAAATAAAATATAATTGCAATTTTTTACGTATATGTCAAAATGTCTCAGTAAGCAAAAAATCATTAAGTATGTAATATATGTATATATAACATATTGTATATACAACATCATTTATGAACAAACTTTGACATCGATTTAGATGAGGTTTCGGTATAATGTTGAAATAACGTTTTTAAAATATTTTATTAATATTTTGAGAGCAATATGTGTTATTAAATAATATTTTTAAAACATTTCTAAAACATTATCAGTCAAAATATTTTTTTAAATATATTATTATTAATACACGTTTATTAAAATATTTTAAACATATATTTATAAAACACATATTATATCATATAATGCGTAGAAAATTTATATAAAATAATCAACATTTTAAAATGTTGACTAAATAAATAATACATTTCTTATTTTAAATCTATATATTTTTGATTGAATAATTTTAATTGAATTCTAATTGCGACTTGAATAAATATAAGTTAGATTTTGTTCAATGAATTTTTGGGAAAATTAAAATTCTTTGCGAAATCGAGAACGATCTCAAATTTTAAAAAAATCTTTATAAATAAAATTTTTACATCATAAATACCTGTAGTATTTATGTTGTATATGATATAAAAAATATCAAAAATTTTTTTATTTGCCACAAATTTTCTAAACAAAAAAACTGTAGAAAATCGAGTATATATGCTCTTTCTCTCTCACGTTCTTTTTTAGATCATCCCCCACACAGCTTCTCTTTCTCTCCCTCAAACCTCAACACTTCAATCTCCGACTCCGATATGTGAGTGAGATGTGCATATGAAAATGTGATTTCGTTAACAATAAATGTTTTGTTTATTGGAACACGACGTCGGAGACATTTTAGAATTCGTCTGGATTCGTATTCATCATGTTTATTTATCGAGCTTTAATGCTGTTCAGTTTTGTGAATGAAAAAGCGGCAGTGACTGGATTATATAGGTTATTGATGATACACATATGATATGCTTCAATAGATAATAATTTTTTGACAGGTATATATATGCAATAATTATTATTTTATAGTCTCTTAATTTAAACTTA